GTTCTTCAATTTAGATCGTGCTTCTATATACAGTTAAATATGAATTTTACTTTTTAATATTAACAAGTTTATAGTTACGTTTCTATATAATAAAAATATACTACCTAATATAAATTCGATTATAAAATTGATAATCATAAAAATGTTAATCAATATCTGGACCCCAAAATTTTGGGGTTACTCAAAAGTGATGAACAAAACACGCTGATATGTCTGGTGATATTTGTAAAAATTGATATTCTTGTTTTATAAAATTAAAAGAAAAAAGTCTCTATTAGCAATACAAAACCCTTTTGTAGAGCAATATACTGATTAAATTATTGATAAATATCATTGTTTACTTTAAACAATATACTGTAATTCTACTTTCATAAATATATAAAAATTGTTAAGAATCTTAGCGACTAAAGTTGAATATTGAATTCTGTAGTACTTAAGTTTGAAAAAAAAATACTTTTAGTTTATAAATAAAGCATATAAATCAGCAATAAAGACAAAATGCAAGGTTATACTTATCCTGGTCTTAATATCATCATAGCAAGATCTGAATAGAGGTTGGAACTAGTTTTAATAATTCAGGTTTATCATGTAAATTTTGTGATATTTTAGAATTTATTAAAATTTAATTAGATTAAATTCTAAATATCTTAAAATTTACAGAATAAACTCGAATTATTAAACCTAGTTCTACCTCTAGATTTAAAAGTTTTGAAACCTGGAGCAAGTCTTTTTATAATTTATTCAGCCTTCTAACTCGAAGTTTTAGAAGTCTTGCAACTATCAGAGAATAGTTTTAGTGTTATACAGTAGATTAGATAATTAGTTTATTTTAGTTTTAGACTTGCTAATCCCATCTTTCATATTGGAAGTTTAAAAGGATAAAGAGCTATGGTGAAGTTATAGGCTATAATAAAGATAAAAAGATGATTTAATCTGTAGTAGATTAGAGAGTTGTTAATGTTAAATAGCTAAATTAAAAAATTCATTAATCTAAGTATAATATTCAAAGATGAGAAATCTAATTTTAACCAGGAGAAATTTCCTCTATGATCATATGACACATATAAATATTTATTGCGATTTACAAAAAGATGTAGCCGTTCAAAGAATATAAACATAACTAATCGAAAATATAAAATAACAGATTTCAGAAATTTTTCCTAATCATCGTCACAAAAATCATATAGTTACAAGCCACAATAATCGATTTATTAATTTATTACTTTATATTATGTAAAAGAACATTATCGCCCAACATACTTCTACACAGATACAATTAATCTAACATTTAACCAACCTACTCTAACCTTTAATCTCACTCTAACCTCTAAACTAGCCACTAACAATAATGCTTTACATTTTAACTCGTAGCAATACCCTATTTTAAAAAATTTTAACAAATTAATATATATATATATTTATCTTTTTAGCTTCAATTTTAATTAATACTTACTAATTCTATTAGTCAAACTAATCGACTTCACAAATATTTCTAATTTCAACAAATGTTATTCTAATCGGTATTGTGTAGCTTTTTTAATATAACTAGAAATATTTGCTTGCCAATAAAATAATTGCTGATTTTCATGTTCTAATATTTCTAGAATTGCTGATTTTCTAGACCGATCATGTCCACCATCTTTTAATGTATTTTGAAAATATCGACATACTTGAATATGGTTTTTTTTTTCTAAAGCTAAACACGAAAAAGGCATTAATCCTAAATCTCTATGAATCTCAATAAATTCGGGAATATGATAGGTTAAAATGTGCATATACAGAGTACAATCTGTTGCTCGATATAGTCCTTGCACAAAATTTTTATTTGGACGTCCTTGAGATAGAGTTAAAAAATATTTTAACCATTCAATTGCTTTTTTTTTAAAACTACTACCACTTATTTTTTTTTGATGCAAATCATCATATAATTCAGCGAATCCATTTCAGAGTTTTCTAAGTTGATTTTGTCTAACTGTTGGTAAATAACAAATACTAATATTCTTAAAATTAAAATTACGTAAGAGTTTAAGTTTGTCTGAACTCATCAAAGACGTATTACATAATTTTTTAGTATTTTTATCTGTCCAAAATTGAAATGTTACACCAATTCGTTTCATTTCTACTAATATTTCTTGCTGAATTTTATTATCTAACTCTCTATTTCGTTGCAAATCAGATAAAAATAGTTCAAAAAGTCGATCTGTAATGCGAAGCATTACATGTAGCTCGGCACACACCCAATTTTTAAGATCAATCATATCGAATAAGGGTACACGTTGATGCTCTCTAATGTTAAAAAAATTTTTTTTTATTTGTTTAATATTTTTGGTAATTGTCCAATCGCCAACTAGTTTATTATTTTGATCAAGAATTCCATTTTGCTGTTTCGTACATGAAAACCATGAACAAAAATGATTCGCGTTTGCAGAATTAAATCCTAAACAAGTAACTAAAAACTTCCAATCTGCGCTAAAAAAAAGTTCCACATTCCAATGCAAGCCGTTAAGTTGGTAAAATCCAGATTCTCTTAAATTGTTTAAATCAAAAATTAATGTGCAAAGTGCATTTTGAAGAGATTGATAATTTTCTGATCCAGAGTAAAGAATGAGTATATGATACCCTTCAGGCTTATGTAGTCTTTCTATATCATTAAGTATTATAGCCGTTACTATAACATGCTGAACCTTTCATCCTATATTCCTACCATCCCCAGATATATGAAGTTTAATAGTAGTATTATTTGGAATTAAAAGTCCTTTTTTTATATACTCAGGTACAATAAAATTTAATATATCAATTATAGAATGCTGTTCACCTTTTCCAGCAGATTCAACTATATTATTAACTATGTCAGGATCAGTAATATGAGGTTGATCTTCAGTTAATTCAGAAGCAACAGAAGTTTCTTCTACATTTATAAGTAATAAGGAAACTAGATTTTGCATTTGTTTATTAAGTCTTTGACATGTACTTGACATTGCACCCTCTCTTGGCAAATCTTAATTAATACATGCTAATGATCGATAAGCTTCATGAGATATCTTGCCTTTATCTAATGATTTTAGAACCGCCAAATGCAAATCATCTATCTTTTCTTGGTTAACTTTTCTATATTGAATTTCAAATAGCTTATCATTTACAATAAAATGTGCTTGCTTAATTTCAACTTTATCATCTTTATGAAAAATGTTTTCTTTACAAATTTCAACTTGATCAAATACACGTTTGGCTATTGTCAACATATGATGTCATTGAGTAGAATTACTGAGATTGTTAAAGGGTTGAACTTTAAGATAGGTATTGGATAGTAACATTTTTCTAACTATATGAACAGAATTTAATTGTAATCCAAACAATTGTACACCCGATATTCAAATGTCTTTCTTTTTATTCTCATTTTTATTAATTGTATTTGTATTTATTTCTTGAATATCTTCATTTAACAAAGTTTCTTTATTTTTTAGCTTTTTAAGACCCTTTAAAGATATTAATTTTTTAATACAATATTGCTAATGCTAATAAATTTTTTTAAAATTAATTATATTTATCTTGCAGTATTTAGCTGCGACGTCTGATGGAGATTTTGTCAAATGAACCATATATTTGTCAAACTGTATTGCAAAATATAGCTTGTCATTGATATATTGGATAGAGTATTCTGCGATATATTTTTTTTTTCCATATGTTGTGCGAACAATATACTAATCAGAAATAGCATATTGCTCCGGTTTCTTAGTATATGCAAGTTTATGTAAAGGAGGATAGACACCTTCATTTATAATTATATAGTCCCATAATCTATGCGTGCTTTTAAAAAAATATGCGAGTCTTTAAGATATGCACTTATTTCTTCTCCCTTCATGACTGTCAAATGAAAAAGCATATATGCATGTACAACATCTATTACATTGGGTTAATATAGTATGTACGTTCGTACGTAATCAAGTAATTAATCACATGAATTAAGTATGATTGGCCATTTTGTAGTTAACATACGTACAGTACATATCTTTAAAGACACCTCTCCAGTTACACAATCAAGATATACTTAAGTATTTTTTTTTTTTTGTAACCTTTGATCAATGCTTTTTTTTTTTTTTTTAAATATGCTAGTACTGTACTTTCCTTGGAGTCATCGTATATTGGTATTGTCAGTTGGAGACGTCATATTTGGTGTTTTCGCTAAGAGTCATCGCTTGTCAGAGTTTTCATTCACACACTCATGTTGTCGCTTGGTGTCGTTGTATGCTATCGTATGTACCGTTAGGCTGTTCTCTTTTTGTTGTGTGTTGGTTTAGTTGTATGTACTTGTATCAGT